ACTGCTAAGCCATCTCTCCAGCCCGTTTTCACTTTCTCAACGCTCCTCTTGTACATACGACATCTATTTTGTTTCTTTGCTATCTGATGGCAGCTTCTAAGTTGTCTTTTTTTTTTTTTGAGACAAGAGCCTCATAATGTAGCCCTGCCTCACCTGGAACTTTGCTATGTAAACCAGGCTGGTCTCAAACACACAAATCCACCTGCTTCAGCCTCCTGAGTGCTGAGATTAAAGACGTGCATCCTATGCTAAGTCTATTTTCATTTCTAAGGCAACTTCCTGCTTTCCTTCCAACTGCCCTGCGTCCTGTCACCCACGTTCTGAGTTTTAGTTTAGCCATTTATTGTCTGTCCTGGCTGCTGTCCTCCCAACCCTGGTTATCCCATCATGAAAGAGCTCTTCCTAAGTGCCAACGGAGCCCTTCTGGATATTCTCTCTCTGAAACTCACTGTCCAGTGCAATCCCTGGAGCCTCATAGGAGGGGAATACTTTATGTCCATTTCATACACGTAGACTAAGCCGAGCAGTCATGAGGACAAAGACCCACTGCAAGCTCTCTCGCATGACGGGCCCAGAGCAGGCACTGATAACAGAGCACAGTGTCTGTGTTGGGGACCTTCCGCCATCAAGTCCTGGGGCCCACATGTGAACTCTGCTTCCTTCCTGTACTCACTCAACCTTACCTGGAAAGGTTTTTCTGGAAACATCATAGGCATCGTGTGTGGGGGGGGGGGGGGGGGGTTGGTTGGTTAAGGAAGGGTCTCATGCTTCTAAGGCTGGCCTTCATCTCCTGATCTTCCTGCCTCCACCTCCCAAGTGCTGGGATTACAAACCTGAGTCACCATGCCCAGCTCACCTGTGCATCTTTGAAATATGACTTTTACAAAGCTTTATATCTATAAAGTCTTCACATTAAAAGCCGAAAGGGAAAACAAAAAACTCTCAAAATTCTTAAACATACTAAGATTTATACACTGTGCCAATGCAGATTCAAAGTAGCCAAGGTCACAATTTACAATTTACAAAAAGCCAATTTACAAGGGATGTTATTTTGCCCTATTAAGACTGCCCCATAGACCAGTTATATCTGCCCCTGACAGGGAGGACCCTGGGACCTGAGTTCATCAGAAGAGCTGCCCAGAGCCTAGAAATGTCCCTTTAGGTACAGTCTGAGGGTGGTTACTTACCTGGGAATCTCGATTGACATCCTGCCACCAAAGAGACAGGGAACTCAGCAATTCAGTGGCAGAGTTGCTGAAGAGACAAGATCCTGACAGCAGCCAGAAACAAGAATAGTTTCAAACAGAGAAAACCAGCCAGGAGCTGTGGATGACAACCTGATAAGGTTGTCTTGTGGAGACTTGTGGAGAGACACGAGATAGCAATCAACCTGGGACTGTGAAGAATTAATCATGCTAGACCAATTTAATTTAGTTCTGACATTCTGTGGCATTGTGTTTAAGAGTCAAGAACAAGGGTACTGGAGAGATGGCTCAGCAGTTAAGAGCACTCACTGCTCTTGCAGAGGACCTGGGTTCTATTCCCAGCACCCACATGGTGGCTACGAACCGTCCTTAACTCCAGTTCCAGGAGAATCCAAAGCCCTCTCCTGACCTCTGCGGCATTGCACAACGGTGCACACACATACATGGAAGCAATACACGAACAGAGACAACATGTGGTAAGATGGTGCACTGAGTAAAAGCACCTACCCGGTGCACACACATACATGGAAGCAATACACATAAAATAAAAATAATAATAAACAAAATATTTTTAAAAGAGTCACGAACAGAGACAACATGTGGTAAGATGGTGCACTGAGTAAAAGCACCTACCAATCAACCCTGCCAACCTGAGTTTGATGCCTGGAACCCCCAGTGGAAGGAGAACCTGTTCCTCAAAGTTGTTCTCTGACCTCCACACCCAATATGGCACATACACACACAAAAAAAAATTGTTTTGAAACTGGGTCTGTGTAGACCAGGCTGGCCTCAAACTCACAGCCCCTCTGCCTTCTGAGTGCTGGGATTAAAGGCCTGTGCCACCATGCCCAGCCACAAATAGATATTAATAAAGGCAACTCAGTTCTAATTTACTGGTTATTTGGAACACTCAGAAAATACTAGACACCCTGGAGAGATGACTCAGCAGTTAAGAGTACTTGAAATTCTTGCAGAGGACCCGGGTTCAGTTCCAAGCACCCAGATGGCAGCTAACAATCATTTGTAACTCCAGTACCAGGGGATCTAATGTTCTCTTCTGGCCTCAGTGGCACTGCATATACATGGCACACTTGCACAAGCATGCAGGAAAAACACTCATACACATAAAACATTAATAAAAAATTTTAAAGTACATGTTAATGCCACTGAGTGGCAAGACCAGAAGTTTGAAGATTGATTTCCTTGATGCTTCAGAGCAGTCTAGGAAATTGGAGCTAGGCATGGTGGCACACACCTTAGGCAGATCTCTGAGTTTCAGGCCAGCTAGGGCTCTATGAGCCTTTTTGACAAATTTAAAGGGGGTAGAGTGGGGGTTGGAACATTCGAAGAATTTAAAATCTAGTAGCTGCAAGCACTGCCAAACCTAGGTCTGAATCTGAATCTGGCTCCAGGCTTCCCATCTTACTCAGAGCAGATCCGGTGTCACATACCAACCCAGATGTCTACTGCTGACATCTACTGCTGCTGCCCACCCCCAAACAAAGTTTTCAGTGGTCCAAAATTTAAGGTGCAACTATACCCTACCAAGGCTTGTCAGTCATTGCCCACGGCCGGCCATCAGGTATGAGTACAGGTCATGGGAACAGGCCCCGCACTCCTAAGTCAGCAATGAGGCAGACCTGGTGACTCCCTATCTGCCCCCACCACTTGCACAGTAGTGCCACAACGCTTGTTGTATAATGTAGGGAGACATGATCTCAGGTGGCCAATCCATGGCAATTCTGCAATCTTGCAATCCCATCAGCCCATGGGCAGTCAGTCCCAAGTAGGGCTCAATTCTGCCCCAAGGGCAACTCTCCAAGCTTCTGGCTCTGAGCTCTAGGTAGCTGTTCAGCTCTCAAAATTATCCGTCCATAGAGTGATCTATGTGCCTCTGAAGTCTTCCACCTGCTTCCTACCTTTAAGATCCTGAGGACCCAAAGGCTGATTTCCACTTCCCGCTGCTTTTCCCTCAGCCTGGCCTGTTTCTGCCACTGGTTTCCTTTCAAAACAAGGAACTCTCTGTGAGTTCAAGGCCAGCCTGGTCTACATAGTGAGTTCAGGACAGCTGGGGCTACAGGGAGACTCTGTCTCAAAAAGACCCCCCCCCCAAAAAAAATTATATTCATCAGTGTTTTGCCTATATGTTTAAGTGCACCACATGCATGGGATACCCAGAGGTAAGAGGAAGAAGTTCCCCTGGAACTGGAGTGATGATGGGATGGTTGTGAGCTGCCACATGGGTGCTGGGAACCGAACCTGGGTCCTCTGCATGAGCAGCAAGTGCTCTTGACCACTGAGCCTTCGCGCCACTCGTATGTACATGCACGCTTGTGTGCATGGCATGTGTATTGGTCATAGACAACTTGTGGAAGTTGGTTCTCTCATCCCACCATGTGGGTCTCAGGGATTCAGACAGACTCAGAGGCAAATGCCTTCAACCACTGTGCCATCTAACCAGCCCCTCTGCCGTTAATATCCATGGTTTTTTTTTTTTTTTTTTTGAGACTTCAATACTGAGGTTCACTATACAAAAGCCATACCCCCTTCTTTTGGGAGCTTCTGTTGAGGGACAGGCTTATAAGCTCAGCAGCCCTCTGGCTTACAGGGTTCTCAACTTTCTAGGATTTGTGTGTGTGTGTGTGTGTGTGTGTGTTTGAGACAGGGTCTCCCTATAGCCCTAGCTGGCCTTGAACTCACACAGATCCACCTGTCTGAGTGCTAGGATCAAAGCCGTAACTTTTCCCTTCTTCTCCTCCCCTAGGGAACCTGTGGTCTGGCTGCCCTCTGGCTTTGACCTTTGCTTAAAAGCCATTTATTTTTACCAATGTCTGCCATCAGGAGTTGTTCAAGTCTACTCCCTGTGAGTTCAACAGGCCTTCCTTGAGCTCATCAAGGCTATCCAGCATAGAAGCCAGGAGGTACTGCCCCAGCACAGTCCAGATAGCTCCTCAGCTGAACCACCCAGCTTACCTGGCATAAGAGAAGCAGGTGCTAATTCCCTGTCCTGTGACACATTTCACCAAGGCTCCCCCAAGTCCTCACAGCCTCCACGTTTTAGACTCATGCTAGTCTGCCCACCCACCTCGGGCCTTCTGCACTTACTGCTTGCTCTCCAAGGATGGCACTGGATTTGGCCTCAAATGCCGCCTATCAGGCATACTCACCTCAACAAACTAGAAAGGAGTACAGCTTGTGGCTGTCAGAGAACATACAGGTAGACAGATGTCAGTACACAAACACATCTGCACTTTGCAAACTCATCCAAGAAAGCTGCCAGTGGCCACCTCTTGGCTGTGGCAAGTCCAGCATCGCTTCTGATGGAGTATCCTTGGGACACACAGCCATGGATTTGGATGAAAGGCCATGTCTACAGACAGCTGCTAAGTCCCAAGGGTCTAGCTAAGCAAGGGAAGCAGACTGACTGAACAGGAGGCCCCAGGAGACACAGAAGGGTCCTAGCACCCCAAGTGCAGATGAAAAATAAGCAAAGGTAGGTCAGATCTCTGGCTTCCTGCGCTTCAGTCTGTCAGACACACAGTGAGTGTAGGCTCTGTACTGCCATGTAACCACAGTCCCATGTCAGAGAGGTCCCTGTCAAGGTCCTCTCACCAGATGGGGTAGGCAGGGACTTAACAGGTCAACAATGTCTGCACTTGGCCACTACCCACAAGATATGGACAGGACTGATTCTCACCAAAGGATGTTCCCATTCCCACATGCCATGCAAGGGCTTCAGGCACAGTGGAGAAAGGCTCACCCTGACCCTCTGCACACAGTACAGGGCAAGGTTATAAATCAGTTAAAGGTTCTTTTTATTTCTGCAATATCATTCCATACAAAAGCGATAGAAATGCAAACAGACAGGTTTACAATTGAAAAGGAAATCTGTACACATTATCATTTACAGCAATATTACATCGTAAATTAACTGATTTAAAAAAAACCTCTCTAAATCCTTCTCTGCTGCCTCCACTTTCAGAACATATGCTAAGATCCTATCTTGTGCTATTTACAAATCCCAAATTAAGACTGTATAACTTACATAAAATCCATTAATGCAACAGCTCGTTAAACATCTTTGTTCAGAGCTCTACGAAGGAAAACTACTTTGATACATTGATCAAAGACCAGGAAATAACTTTCCAAAGTCATTGGAGCCATCTGACTCTGAGAATACTTTATCTGTTAGCTGTAAAGACAGCGGACTCTAGATTGGTCCCATGAACACAAGGCCAAATTCCACAGCAAACCCATCTGAGAAGTGGCAACTAGAGTCTCACATTCTTGTGTAAGATCACAAGAAGCATCCTGCTGTCTGACTTGGAAGGTGGTAGACATCAAGCAATGAAGCATTAAAAGAGGACGAGGTTCAGTCTTCACTGGATGTCGCTCCATTGACCACTTAAAACATGCAAAACACTCACTATTCATAAAAATAAGGCAAGAACAACAATTCACCATGAGAAAATAAACTCCACAGAGAAACCATCCAAGCGCAAGTGCACAGCCTCCCTCCTGGCCAGGCAGAAGCTACTGTTGCTCTGAGTAGCCACCAGGTGGCAGTTAACTCATGGCTGAGAAGTCTTTTAAGGGTTCAGTCAAACAAGCTTCCAAATCAAATTCATCCTCCACTAGGCTGTCCACGTGTCTGACTTTGGTGGGTGTGCCAGCATACGCATCCTAGAAAACAGAAGCTCCGTCACACCTATGTCAATCCATAGCACATTCTTCCTGTTAAGTGATCCTGAGCACAGGTTAGGCTTACTCACCTCAGACATTCCTGTGCTCAGAAGCAACACAGGACCAATCAGATTATTACCAGTGCAAGTTACATGAACGGGAATATTCACAACAGCCTTCAAACAAAATTAAAAGTTCATGGCCAACAGATAAAAACCATTATTCTATGAAGTTTCCAGTTCCCTCCTACTAAACCACCCAACCCTGCCAATGAAAAACAAAGACCCTTTCTCATCTCCAAGCCACAGCTGTCTCAACTAATAGCAGCTTTTGTGAGGACTAGATAGATAACAGATACAAGATGACACTCACCTGTGACTTGGGAAGCAAAGACAAACTAGATGAGCACCTACCCCTAGCTAAGGCCCAACAGACCAGGAACTGAGAACAGTCCCTCTAAGCCTGTCTCACCACTATAAGGGGACACTGCTGCCTACACTGCACAGCTGCTAGAACCCTGTAGAATAATGCACATAAAGTATCTGATGCATTATGATTGGGATGGAGAGTCATCATGACAAGAGGGACCATATGTAATACAGACATTGCAAAATACAAAGTATACATGTGTGCACACTTTGTAGGCACTGAAAAAATTTTTTAAATTTAAATTTATGTGTGTTGTATGTGTGAGTGTATATGCCATGGCATGCCTGTGGAGGTCAAAGGGCAACTTGCAGGAGTCAGTTCTTTCCTTCCACTATGTGGATTCTGAAAATTGAACTCAGGTTGTCAGGCATGCCAACAAGTGCCTTTATAGACTCAGCCATCTTGCTGGCCCACAGAGAATTCTAATGGGCCAGACAAAATCGTGAAGAAGCCAGGTGTGGTAGGGTGATACATGCCTATAATCCCAGAACTTGGGAGGCTGAGGGAGAATTGCATTGTCACAAGTTCAAAGCCAGCATAGGCTGCAAATATAATACCTCTGAGAGAGGTTATCTCAGGGCTGGAAGTGAAAATGTTTGGGGATTAAAATGATGTATTTCCATATAAGTTTATTTTCTCAATTATCTGCTAACAGTTAATTTTGTTTTTTCAGACAAGGTCTCCCTGTAGTCCCAGCTAGCCTGGAACTCAATATGTAGACCAGGCTGGCTTCAATCCCACAATGATCTGCCTGCTTCTGCCTCCCAAGTGCTAAGATTAAAGTCAAGGGCTATCATACATGGTCAGAGCTTTTTAAAAGTTTATAAAACTTAGGCCAGCCTGGTCTACACAGTGAGTTCCAGGACAGCTGGGGCTACAAGGAGACCCTGTCTCAAAAAGACCAAAAAAAAAAGCTTATAAAACTTTATTTCATAAAAAAAAAAATATATCTTTAAAAGAATTTTAAGCCAGGTATGGTGGCCCACACCTTTAGTCTCTGCATTTGGGAGGCAGATGCAGATGGATCTCTGCGTTTAAAATCAGCATGGTCTAAATAGGGAGTTTCAGGGCTAGCCAGGGCTACACAATGAGACCCAGTCTCAAAAAACCAAAACAAAAACAATTCTGTTGGGTATAGTGAGAGAAGCTCTGTGAGTTCAAGGCCAGCCTAGTTTACACAGTGAGTTCTAGAGTACATAGTGAGACCCTGTTTCAAAAACCGTTAACAAAAAAACCCACAATCCAACAACTTCAAAGTGATGGACAATAAACATTGTTTTATAAAAACTAGATATTTTTTAGGAGACAAAAGCCACAGTGTTTAGAAGCCAAGCTTCACCACTTCCAAGGTTATATGGTGCGCACACCACTCCCAAGGTTATACGGTGTGCACACCACTCCCAAGGTTATACGGTGCGCACACCACTTCCAAGGTTATACGGTGCGCACACCACTTCCAAGGTTATACGGTGCACACACCACTTCCAAGGTTATACGGTGTGCACTGATAGAGGAGTAGGCAGCACGGCATTCACAGCACTTCAGACTTAAACTTTCTCCAACAATTTTAGGAGAGTGCTTTTCTAAGTACTTCATCCAGCCACCTCTTTCTTTTCTATTCTAGTTTGGAGGCAGGGCCTTGCTATGTAATCCACGTTGTCCAAACTCTCAGTACTCCTCCATCTTATAAACTACAATTGTGTAAAAGGCCTAAAAAAAGTACCAAATCGTCAACTATAGAATCAGAGATGAAACAATTCTGTAAACCTCAAACATAACTTTGTTTTTTGAAATAGGGTCTTGTGTAGACCAGGCTGGCCTCAAATTCCTAATCCTCCAGCCTCCACCTTACAAGTGCTGAGGTTACAGGCATGTACTACTATGCCATTTTAAAACATCTTTTTTTTTTTTTTTTTTTTTTGGTCTTTTTGAGACAGGGTCTCCCTGTAGCCCCAGCTGTCCTGGAACTCACTATGTAGACCAGGCTGGCCTTGAACTCACAAAGATCCACCTGTCTCTGCCTCCCGAGTGCTGGGATTAAAGGTGTGCACCACCACACCCGGCGCTGAAAGTTTTTTTTTTATAAACACTAAACTCAGTATAGAAAGTAGTGGCGTAACTAAAGTACTTACAAAGTTATCCTGTGAGCTTTTCTGGGACTCAGAGCTGCTTTCTGTGAATTCTGTCTCCATTTCCCCAAAGTCTACAGGTTGTCTGAGAAATTAAAGACAGCAAGCATGTCAGTCACCTGCTAATAGAGCCAGGAAACCAGTTTTCAAGTTTGCTCACTAACACCAAATACCACTCATGCCACAGTACATGTGTGTTGTGAAAACATGTTTCAGTTGGGCATGGTGGCGCACACCTTTAATTCCAGCACTTGGGAAGTAAGGCAGGTGGATATGTGAGTTCAAGGCCAGTCTGGTCTACATGTAGAGTTCTAGGCCAGCTGGGGCTACAGGAAGACCGTCTCAAAAAGACCGAAAAAAAAAAAGAAATAACAACAACAAAACATGTGTGTGACAAGTGCTTTACTCATGGAGCCATCGCCCCAGTCCTGATTCTTAAAGGTAAAAAACATCCTAAAGAGCATTTGAGTTTTTTGTTTAAATTATTGTATGTGTATTAGTATACTGCCTGCATGTGTGTAAGTACACCCATGCCATGCAATACCTGTGGAGGTCAGAAGAGGGCGTCAGATCCTCTGGATGTGGGGTTAGGACATGTGTGCGCGTGTGTGCATGTGTACAGGCAAGCACCAGATGTGGTAGCACATACCTTTAATTCTAGCAGGGGAAAAGCAGAGGCAGGTGGATCTCAGTAAGTTCCAGGTAAACCTGGTCTATATAGCTGGTTCCATGCCAGCTACGACTACAGAGGAAGCCCTCGTCTTAAAAATACAACAAATGGGGCTGGAGAGATGGCTCAGAAGAGCACTCACTGCTCTTGCAGAGGACCCAGGTTCGATTCCCAGCACCTACACGGTAGCTATGAACCATCCTTAACTCCAGTTCCAGGGGAATCTGAAGCCCTCTTCTGACCTCTGTGGCCTTGCACGACATGAATGCACTCACATACATGCAGGCAATACACTCATACACATAAAATAAAAATAAAATTTTTTTTTAAAAAAATGCAACAAAGCCACCCTCTAGTCCTAAACTGAGCCTATTTTCTAGCCCCAAAGGTTAAATCTAGCTGAGAGGTGAACTCTTCTCTAGCCTCCCTGACCTTGAGACATTAGATGAAGCCTGAATGGACTGGACTGATGGCTCTGCTCTATGACAACTTCCAGGAGAGCATGCCAGAGGAGAAAGCAACCAAGACATACATTTCTTGTAAATCACATCCTTCTTCAGCTGGAGGATCCCAGAAATGCAAAGCCACCTTCCAGAGTCTGATCTGCTGGTCCCATGACCGCCGGCTGTATTTCTTAAATTTGTTAGGGGTCTTGGGATGGATTCCAGGTTGTCGCAGGTGTCTGCAGGACCGAGAAAGGTTACCTCAAATACAAGTTATTCACACCTACACAAACTTTGAGATTAACATTACTTAACAGTAATTGAAATCCTGTAAGTGAGCACCAAAATGCATTAAAACCATTATCTGGGTCTAGAGAGAGACGCTTCAGCCACTAAGTACCCTTGCAGAAGACTCAGATTTGGTTCCCAGCACCAACATGGCAGCTCACAACCATCTCTAACTCCAGTTCCAAGGGATCTAACACTCTCTTCTGGCCTCCCAAGAAACCAGGCACACACATGGTGTTCACACACATACATGCAGGCAAACACTCATAAGCATAAAATGAAATAAATATTTTTTTATTCAGGGTCTCCCTGTAGCCTTAGCTGGCCCAGAACTCACTATGTAGACTTCACAGAAATCTGCCAGCCTCTGCCATACAAGTGCTTGGATTAAAGGCATACATTACTGCACCGAGCAGGAAAATAAATCTTTTTTTTCTTGAACTCAGAGATCCACCTGCTCTGCCTCCCAAGTGCTGGGATTAAAGGCATGTGCCACCATGCCCGTCAAATCAGATAAAATGTGTATGAGTATTTTACCTGCATGAATGGATGTGTACCACATACATGTAATGCCTAGAGGCTAGAAGAAGGTTACCAAATTCCCTGAAACTGGAGCTACAGATAACTATTGAGCCAACTGGGTACTGACAACCAAACCCCAGTCCTCTGCAATAGCAGTCAGTACTCTTAACCACTGAGCCATCTCTCCTGCCCCTCCACATAGGCCAAATTAGCTGTTCAGATGCCAATCTATTTTTGGTTTCCACCTAAGTGCCCATGAGTCACTAATAAACACTTCCTAGCAGGTATGTCTAATCTAAGCAACTCCTTAACAGATGCACTGCTGTGGGGCAGGATTATGGCATGCCTTTGTGACAACACTACCTGGGGACCTCTTTTATGTAGCGATCATAGGCAATAGTGTTCTTTCCATAGTTGATCTGCTTCTGTCTTCTCATCAAGACACTTTCATCTGTCTCCACATCAGCAGGCACTGCAGGCATAGACTCCTTTGAATCAGAACTGAAAATAATGAAAGATGAACAAAACAAGCCTTGTGATTAAGATCACTGTGTGCCAAGAAAATGCTGAGACATTTATTCACCCTCTGGGTTCCAAACACTACAGAAATTAGGCACACCATTATGTGAAATCTGCATAGAACTCATCAACAGTACTGAGAAAATCAGTGTCACTCATTCAAAACTTTCATTAACAAATTACAAAGAAATGCTTGAACATGTACCTTCCTGATGATGATTTTCTCTCTCTTCCAAAGTCATTTATGAGTAATTTCCTTTTATATCTGAGAACAAAATAAATAGTTTTCAAAAGGGTAAAACCAAACAAAAAATAGTGCTTCTAAAGCTAACAGCCACCAGGAATGAAGCCTTCTTCCTGGGCAGCGTGGTTCTGGGACAGGAGGATACTGAGTTTGAGGTCAGTCTGGCCTTAACAAGCTCCTGACAACACTGGGTACGTGTGTATGTGTGTGGGGTAGCATGTAGAACATGGGATGGACTATTTCTTTGTCGCTTTTAATTTTCAAACATTTATTGAGTGTGTACATGTGCGCACATGCATGCCACAGCACATACAGGTCAGGACCTCTTGAGAGGCGGCCTCTTTCAGTGTGAGTTCCAGGAGTCAGAAAACGCTGAGCCATTTCACCAACCTGACACTATGTCTTTGAATCCTACTATTCCTTTGCAACCTATGTTCCAGTTAAGTTTTAATCCTGTTCCTGTCCAAAATGCTCAAGAAAATTCAAGTTTTCCTTTCCTTCCCTTCCCTTCCCATCCCATGTGCATGTTCAGTGTTTTCATGACCTCATGGAGAACCTATGGTGTCATTCCTCACAAACCATTCCACTTTGTTTTTGGTACATACAGGCTCTCTCGTTGGCCTAGGGCTCACCAATTTGGCTAGATTGGATGGCTGGCAAATGTCGGGGATCCTCCTGTCTCTGACTCCCCAGCATACCACCCTGTGTGGCTTTTTCACATGGGTTCTGGGAATCTAAGTCATGTCCTTTAGCTTGCAAGACACGCTTCACTGACTGAGGGCTATCCTCAGCCCCTTCTCTTTGTGTTTTTGGAGATAGGGTCTAAGTTGCCCAGGCTGGCCTTGATGCCTAATGGTCTATTTTTAGAATCTCTCAGTTAATCACCTTGTTATATAAAAGTTGTCAAGAGCCTAGTAGTCTATGTTGCTTAAAACAACCCAGTTATGAGAAAACCATCCTTATCACCTCAGGCACACCATCTCATGTCATGCAGAGCTTTCCTGGGCCAAAAGAAATCTTAACATGACTAGCAAAATCCAAACATCACCTACTGCCAAGATGAGGGCAGGCAGCCTGCTCTTCTGGCTGTTATTAGGACACACTTCTTCTGAACTGACAATGATCCTATCTGACCTCCTAGCTACTTCCCAGTTAAAATCCTCTGTTCAACAACATACTTCAACTAATTGGGAACCACACTTTAACACAAATCAGTCTACTGGGTTTGGGTTGGAAAGCCAAAAGAGCAAGATCAAAAGAGCAAGACCCAAGCCAGGCATGGTGGTGCACTCCTTTAATCCCAGCACATGGGAGACAGAGGCAGACAGATCTCTAGGAGATCAAGTCCAGTTTGGCTACATAGTAAATTCCAGGCCAGCTGGGGCTACAGAGAGACCCTTTCTCAAACAAGAGAGAGAGAAGAGAAACATGGATAATGCAATCAAGGGAAATTAAGCAATGGTTAAATACCTCTGGCTGTCCTGGAACTTACTTTGTAGACCAGGCTGGCCTGAAACTCAGAGATCTCTGCCTACCTCACCAAATACTGGGATTAAAGGTATGGACCACCACACCCCGCAATATAGTGAAATCTTGTCTCAAAATATCTTAAGGGGCTACAAAGATCGCTCAGCAGTTAAGAGCACAGGCTGCTCTTCAAACCTTGGTGAGATTCCCAGCACCCACATGGAAGCTAACAAGTGTCCTTAATTCCAGTTCCAGGGGCCTCCATGGGCATTGCACGCATGGGTGCACTTACATACGTGCAGGCAAAACATTTATACATATTTTTAAAAATTAAGAAGTTTTTTTTTGGTCTTTTTTGAGACAGTGTTTCCCCTATAGCTCCAGCTGCCTGGAACTCCCTATGTAGACCAGGGTGGCCTTGAATTCAGAGATCCACCTGCCTCTGCCTCCCAAGTACTAGGACTAAAGGTATGTGTCACCGTCACCACCACCACCACCACCCCCACCCCCGGCTCAAAAAAAAATTTTAAGACGCTGGAGATGTAACTTAGAAGAGTACTTGCTTAACATGCACAAAGCCCTGAGTCTTATCCACAGCTCTGCATAAACTAGGCATGGTGACATAGGCCTGTAATCCCAGCATTAAGTAAGTGGAGACAGGAGGATCAGGAGTTCAAAGCCACCTTGACTACAAGAGACCCTGTCTCAAAAAAAGGGGGACAACGACTCACATATCTGTATGATACAACATGTGACAGACGATAACCAGTGACTGTAGAAAGCTGGAGGAAAGGGTAGTGATACTGTTCAGTGGTAATCATAAGACAGGATAGAAAGACAGGGAAATTGTTATCACGTGGGAAGAAAAAGAGCCCTTACCACAGCGTCTGGTCAAAGACTCTCACTAGCTGTTAAGTCAAGAAACCCAGCACAATTACCTTTCACTGTGAAGAATGCCAACATAGAGACCTTTCTAAGAATGTGAAAATAGCAATAAACTAGGCCTAAAGCCTGAATGTCTATGACAGTGAAGATATCCCAACATCCTACATCTGATTTACAGTTGTTTTATACATGTGTATATGTGTCCATACATGAGTGTGTGCATAGGCCAGAGGTTGATAATGGGACTTTCTTAAAATCATTCTCCATTTTACTTTTACTGAGACAGGGTGTCTCATTCATTGTACTCAGAGCTGACAGTTCAGCCAGTCTGTTTTTTTTTTTTTTTTCTTTTTTTGTCTTTTTGAGACAGGGTCTCCCTGTAGCCCCAGCTGTCCTAGAGCTAACTATGTAGACCAGGCTGGCCTTGAACTCACAGAGATCTGCCTGCCTCTGCCTCCAGAGTGCTGGGATTAAAGGCGTGCACCACCATGCCCGGCCCAAGTCTATTATATTTTTTAAATTTCTTTTGTATGTGTACCGGCACATGTGTACCATGAGAAGCATATGGACACCAGAGGACAACTTACAGGAGTTGGTTCCCAGAGACTGAATATAGGTCCTTAAGCTTGGCAACAAGCACCTTTATCTGCTGAGCCATTTGTTGGCCCTGATTTGGCTAGTCTAGCCAGCCAGCCAGCTTGCCCCTAGGTATCCCATCTCTGCCTCCTAAGCACTAGAAGTATGGACAGGCTGCCACACCTACCCAGTGTTTGTAGGTGCTAGAGATCCAAACTCCCGTCCTCATGTTTTCCCCAGCTCCCACTTGAGTTTTACAAGTGAAATTCTCAAGTACACCTAAGAAACTGCCCAATAAATTCTTTGGTAATCCTTTAAAGACAGTAACTTCAAGAATCAACAAAATCTTATATATGACTATTACAAAGAGTATGGCTCTTTTGAGAAGTTCACATCCAAACTCTTGGGTTTCACTTTCATCCCAGACCCAACTCCTGTGCCCAAAATCTATGTGAGAAATGTCTTTTTGAGACAGGGTCTCCCTGTAGCCCCAGCTGACCTGGAACTCACTAGGTAGACCAGGCTGGCCTCAAACTCAGAGCTCCACCTGTCTCTGCCTCCTAAGTGCTGGGATTAAAGGTGTGTGCCACCACACGTACCAATCAATAGTAAAATATTTTTTAAGAGAATCCAGGGGCATGGTGGCCCACCTGTAATTCCAATACTCTTGAGGCAGAGAGAGGGGATCTCCAGGCTAAGTTGCAAACTGGAATAGCAGGATCAGAAAGCTCTGGTTCAACAAAATACCCTGTCACACTAAAATAAAGCGAATAGCAATTGAGCAAGACACCTGATACCAACCTCTAGCCTCCACGTACATCTGCAAGGAGCACGAGAATGCATATTTCTTTTTTTTTTTTTTAACATTTTATTCTTTCTTTATGTATATGAGTTATGCCTGCATGTAAGTAAGTGAGACAGTGTTGTACAGTGCCCATGGAAGACAGAAAAGGCTGTTGGATCCCCTGGAACTGGAATTATGGACTGCTGTTAGCTGCCATGTAGGTGCTGGGATACAAACTTGGGTCTTCTGCAAGAACAGTATTCTTAACCGCTGAGCCATCTCTCCAGGCCCGAGAATGCATATTTCTAACAAGTTACCAAGAGACGCTAGCCTAGAGTCCAGATTTGGGGGAAGAAGAGGAAGTTGTGCTGGGGATCAATAACCTCAGGGCTTCATAATGCTGGGCAAGCTTACTGCCACTGACCCAACCCCTAAGGAACAGATTTTTTAGTACTAGGAGACAGACCTTGAGTATAGTTAATAACTGGAAAAGAAATGTTTCAAAGTGGTCCTAAATGTGTACCTTGCAATCTCTCTGTTAACTTTGGTCCTCATTTCATCTTCTTCAACTGCACTTGCCCAGTCAAAACATCTAGAACGAGGCTTGGGGCCTTCAGGAGTGGTAAAGCTACAATAAAATGAAAATGCACATTAAACCATGCATGCTTTTAGTTTCAAATCTTTTCAGGAAATACAGCATACTTAGGCAGAATACCAAGGAATAAAACAAGTTTGAGCAAGTCTCTTAAAGCCTTTCAGGGCTTCATCAGACAACTTCTACCCACCTATTACAGTCAGTGATCACTAACTCATGAGGACACTGCCCACTGAGAAGGCAGGCAAGGCAAGTCAGTAAAGCACTGTCTGTAGCAGGAGAGCACCTACCATGGAACTTGCTTTGTTTTGAGAGTCTCACTGCTAGTCTTGAACCCTGTCCTGCTTCAGCTACCTGAAGTGCTGAGAATACAGGTGTTAGCCACCAGATCTGGCTTCAGCTTGTTCATCCAGCTCCAAAACAAGTTATCATTATTTTAAGATTTTTGCATGTTCTGGGGCTGGAGAGATGGCTCAGTGGTTAAGAACACTGATTATTCTTGCAGAAGACCCGGATTCAGATCCCAGCACCCATATGGCAGCTAACAACTATCTATAATTCCAGTTCAAGGGGATCCGACAGCCTCGTCTGTCCTCCTCGGGCAATGTACGACATGGGTGCACTTATCTACATGCAGGCATAACACTCATACACATAAAAATAGTAAATAAATTTTTTTTTTTTTTAAAGTTTTTTGTGTGTTCTGAAGGCAGGTTCACACTAAGCAGTCCTTAGGGCTAGCCTGGAACTCAAGAAGAGATCCACCTGCTTCTGCCTCCCAAATGCTGGGATTAATGCACTCAGTTAAATTTTTTTCTAATTTTTTGAACTGATTTTCTTTTAATTTGCATTTTGCATGTATACATGTAAGTGTGCCTGTCTATGCAATGCCCAGAGACCAGAAGAGAGCACTGGATCTCCTGGAACTGGAGTTAAGGGCAGCTGCCATGTGGGTGCTAGAAATCAACCTGGATCCTCTGCAAGAGCAGACAGTGCTCCTGACCACTGAGCCACCTTGCCAACCCCCTATATTTTTTTTTTATTATTATTTTTATTTTATGTGTATGAGTGTTATACCTGCATGTGGGTACATGCACCCGTGTCGTGCAATGCCTGTGGAGGACAGAAGAGGCCATCGGATCCCCTGGACAGTTCTTAGCTGCCATGTGGGTGCTGGGTTCTGAACCTGGATCTTCTGCAAGAACAGTTAGTGTTCTTAACCACTGAACCATCTCTCCAGCCCCAACCAGTCCCCTATTTTAAGATTTTTAGGGGAGACCAGAAAATACTAAAAGTTTACACTGCGACCAGCCTAGCAAGAGTCCAATAAAGCAGATGAGGGTTATCTTTAGATGCACAAAGCTCACAACACACCCAGGCACAACAGCACACACCTTTAAGCTTAGCACTTGGGAGGTAAGGGTAGGTGATCTCTCCGAGTTCAAGGCTGACTCTATGTAGTGAGTTCTAGGCCAGCCATGTCTACATAGTGAGACCCTGTCTTTTTTTTTTTCCCCCACCTCATAACTGCTTGTTAACTGCAGCTCCAGGAAATCCTACACCACCCTCTTCTGGATTCCACAGGTACACACATAGCATACACATATAAAGACACATGAAGAAAAATAAATCTTTGACATGTACAATTAAAATGTTGGATGAGAAAATATGGGTCATAACTTTTGTTACATTAAGAAACTAACAAGAAAAACATTATTAACATTAAGGTAAAGCTCTGAACCTGCCCTGGTTTCATTTATTTAGCTTAAGACAAAAATGTTGGGGTTTTTTAAAATATTTTATTACTATTTTTATTTTACATATATGCATGTATTGCCTGCATGTAGGTAAGTGCACCCATGTTGTGCAATGCCCACGGAGGTCAGAAGAGGCTGCTGGATCCCCTGGGACTGGAGTTAGGGACAGTTGTTAGCTGCCATGTGGGTGCTGGGATTCAAACCCGGGTCTTCTGCAGAACAGCCAGTGTCCTTAACTGCTGAGCCATCTCTCCAGCCCCCACAATGTTGGGTTCTTGACTCTTTTCAAGTTCATAGGTTGCCAACATGGCAAGAGTCACTTGCTGTTTGTGTTGTGTGGAGTTGCCTGGAGATCTCTACTGTGATGGGCTAGGGTAGTAGCTTTTTGGAAAGAGATTAAGAACACTGGCTGTTCTTGCAGAAAACCCGGGTTCAAATCCCAGCACCCACATGGCACCTAACAACTGTCTGTAACTCCAGTCCCAAGAGATCTGACAGCCTCTTCTGACCTCTGCAGGCATTGCACAACAAGGCTGCACTTACTCACATGCAGGCAATACACACATACACATAAAATAAAAATAAAATGTTTTTTAAAAAGCCAGCATGGTGGCACATGCCTGCAGTCCCAGCACTTGGGAGGCAGAGGCAATCCCTGTAAATTCAAGTCCAGCCTGATCTACATAGTGAGTTCCAAGACAGCTGGGGCTACAGGGAGACCCTGCTTCAAAAAGACAAAAAAAAAAAAAAAAATTTTTTTGTCTTCAGCTAAATAAATGAAACCAGGGCAGGTTCAGAGCGTCACCTTAATGTTAAGATTGTTTTTGTTATTAGTTTTTTTTGTTTTCACTGAGACTAGGTCTCATGTAGCCCAGGCTAGTCTCAAACTCACTATGTAGCCAATGACCTTGAATTTCTGATTCTACCTCTACTTTCTACATGTTGGGATCACCAACATACCACCACTGCACCCATTTTATTACAAGCTGAGATTTAAAACCTAGCCTACATTTGGGCAGGTGAGGCAATCACTCTGCCAGTTGAACTGCATCTCCAGCCCTCAATGATAAGGTATGATTGACCTCCCTTTATTATCTATCCTGGGGCTGTCCTACACTCCCCCATGCTCCTCCTAGACCCAGTCCCAAGTGCTGGTTTCTATCTCACCTCTACAGCTGACTCCCTCCCATACCTACCCAGGTCCCACCTTCACCTGGAGAATGGCAATGTCATCAACACGAGAGATGTTCACTCAGGGTTTGAGTCAGTCTACTTTCCTTTTCTCTATCAGCATGATCTATATTCAGAAGTCTACCCTAAGCCACCATCACTGCCTCATATGGCCAAGTCACCGTATCTTCATGGAGGCTGGCAGCAGCCCTGTTCTGTCCTTCCCTTCCAGTCATCTCCAGCAGGCCACAGCACTGTCCAAAAACTCTCACAGGGATCATTTTGCCCTTCACCAATCACCACACCAAGGTCCTCAAGGAGAGTAACTCCCAGGCAGCCCAGACACCCGCTTACTTTCCCCAAACTCCTGGTCCCTCTGAATGATGTCACTGGCTGGCCCTCCTCCATCAGACAGACCTTTAGAACTGGGCTCATCCAACAGGAAAGGCCTAGGAGCACATGACAAGATGACCTGAGATTTAACCTTGGTCTGCACCTGGCTTTTCAGTACACACCTTCAGTGACCCTGGTATAAGACCTAACTAACTTCAGGGTTGGAGAAACGGTTCACCGAGTAAGAGCACTTTGCAGAGGACCGGGATTCGGATCCCAGCACCCACCTAGCAAGTAACAGCCCCTGTAATTCCAGTTCCAGGGGATCTGACGGCCTCTTCTGACCTCCACAGACACTGCCCCACACGGTGCACTTACACACATCAAAGTAATATACTCACGCACGTAAAATCTTTTAAAAAGACCTATCTTCACAAATAGACTCAGTGAGCTTTAAGTCCCTGATGCTCTGCTCCAACAGAAAGAATGACCCACTCCCGATAGAAACAGTTTTGCTACCACCTATTAATCACTGGAAGATGTTCCTAGGGCTGAGCGGAGGTGAGGGGACCGAGTCACCTGACACTACCCCACACCTCTTAAGACTGGTGCTGGGAGCAGCCGCCAGCTCCCGCCCCCCCCCCACCGCACCTCTCGGGCCGGCGGTCGGCGGCCGGTCCCTCGGCTTCCTCTGCGTCCTCGGGCTTCCGGTGCCTCCCGTCGGCTCTGCGCTTCCGTCCGAGGCTCGATCTGGCAGGGGACTGCGGGCTGACGACACAGACCCGGGTCAGCGGGCCGGGCAGAGCCCGAGGCCTGGGGACCCCGCCAGACACCCCTCCAGTCACCTTCCGGCCCGAGGACCCCGTCACCGCCGCCCGGGACCCGCGTCAGGCGGCTGCTCGCCTCAGCCCTGCGGCCCTCACCTAGCGGCCCCGTCGCGGCGGCACCCGTAGCGGGGTGGGCTCCTGGGTTGGCTAGCCATGGCGACAGTGGAAGAGAGCGACTCCAGGCGCGACCGAGTTCTGCCGACGACCCGCCCCAACCGCCTTTATGAGCGCGGACGCCCCGCCCCCACCGCTCCCGCGCGCGCGGCCGGACGAAACCATCGGGCAGCGCCTTGGGGGAGCCGGGCCGTGAGCACCGCGGGCGGGCGGGCTGAGAGCAGACCCGGGGCCATAGGGTCCCGGAAGTTCCGCATGCGGCCTCCCAGGAGGGGCCGGGACCCGAGGGCTCACAGCGGACAGGACCCGGCAGCCCCTCGTCCTGGGCCGGCGACGCGACTGCTCGGGCCCACATTGGTCCCGTCTTCGCGGGCGGAGGGTTTTGGCGGGAGATTCGGCCGCGCGCGCTCTGCCACTCAGCGCAGGAGGGGCGGGCCTGTCGGCGCCGGGCCACCTCCCATTGGCCCTGCGTGGCGTGGGCGGGGCCCGGAAGACAGGAGGACTGGAACCCGGAAGGCACGGGGGGGGGGGGGGGGGGCC